TGTGTGTGTGTGTGTATATATATATATGTATATATATATATAAGTGATTATTATAGTAAAACGTCTCGGTACTCTATCCCAAACATCGAAATCAAACGACTTAGACGACCCACTGGGAACTACTGTCTTGGGTCGGATGGACGAGGAGTTAAGCAGCAGCCACCGCACCCGCAGGGCTATCTAGCAGATATGCATACACATACAAACACCCTACCCGCGCCAAGAAGATAGCCGATGAGTTTTATTCGCTACTTACGGAAACGTGCACTGGAACAGTTTCAATTCCTATTGTACTATGATACGACACAACATTTGTAAATACCACGATGACAACGACCAAACGAAGACGGGCATCCAAAATGTGAAGCAACATAAAGTAGATCAGTGCGCTTACCTTATCCTCGCCCGTCCACCGACGCATCTCTCTCTGCTGCAGGTAATTGTAGGCCTCTTCGTATGAACTCCTTCCAGGTTGGAGGGTCTAATGATGTGGGGACAAAAATAATACTATTGGGCATGATGTGTGGTAATCGAATCCTTGGCTCCAGGCCATACAAAAGAACGAGATAATCGATACTCTAGTGTGGTGATAATAAGACATACAGTTCAGCGGGCTTTGTGTTGAGCATGTGTCGTGCAATCAGCTGGCGAACAACTGTCACTTACAATTACTTATCCTATGGGTATATATGTCTACGTAGCCTTATTCCAATTAGATTTAGCCACGCTCTAGATATGATTTACAAGCCTACCAAATACGTCTTTAGGAGCGGATATGTAACCCACAGCAGACATCGACGTAGGATTCTCAGACACATAGTATTCGTAAACAATCAGATATCTATTATCGAGCACAGGAACTCCTTGTACAGGACAACTAATAATCCAGCAACTGATGGAACATACATTACCCAGATGTTTATGGATGTGGTTGGGATGCAACGTGTTGGCGCTGGCGATGGCCAAGTTGATGGTCTGCATGCACTGCACCACGAGCACCGTTAGCTCTTTCACCCTGGTTTGTCGTGTGACACCGTCTTTCTGTTTGCCGAACCTGCAACAGTATTTAACACACAGATCAAAAGCGGAGAACGCTTACATATTATTCATATGCTTATTAGCTGTACAGTATGCGAGCTTGCGCTCACCGGTATATGAGAGTGCACGCACGTTCGCCCTAATCATGAGTATGGACTTGAAACACACATTCTAATCTACGGTAAATAAACACTCAAGCACAATCACGAATACGTGGCAAACCGGCTACTCAGAAACAGATCCGACTACCCAATGATCTATATGGCGATCCGTGGCTGCGCCCATATACAGGCGCAAAAATGATACACGAGCCCTCAAGTAGGCCACTACACAGTCATTCCTCTCTATCGCATAACCGCAAGCACTAAAAAAAAGAATACCAGTTGGTCCAGCTTTCGGCCGAGTTGGGCCTCGCGTCATCCTCGTCATCGTTGTCCCTCTTCAGAAACAGCTCGCACTGCTGCAGACACACTCTGCACAGTGCTATGGCTGGTATCACCAACTGCCTTGTTTCATGACGGGCACTCAGGCGTGCACACACATCTAATCCCTATTGAATCGAGAATAGGTGACGATTATGAACACTATTTCCTGATTGGGCGTCTTGTGATTGTGTTGAAGTATTGTTCTATGCTGCATCGAAGCGAGCGCCTATAGCTGGTGTTCACGACTCAACATGCCCGCGCAACACCCCAAAGCGAGCACAAGCCATGGAGAATCGTTTATACATGGAAAACTTCCGAAGCATGCCGATCCTGCTAGCCTCTCGTTGTGACATCAATCCGTCGACTGCAATTACAGATAAATTATCAAGTACTATTGCACACAAATAACAGACAATAGGCAACGCGTGGCTTTCTGCACTACACTACACTAAGCAAGAAATATGTCGCATACATCCTCCACTATACAGCATCAAATACATACCGTTCTGCTATATAGAAAAGCGAAATGTCACACAATCTTGATGAAAGCATCTTCAACTGAGGTAATTGAGTACTGGAAGCCAGGTGAAGTATTTCACATACTGATTGTAAAGTCTCCAACTGTTTCCACAGTACGAACCCATCGATTGGCAGCGCTTGTGCCTGCTGATAGAAGGCTAGCACTGGTTTACAACTGGAAGCCACCCCAACTGCTGAAACTAGCAGTCCATAGTATTGTGACATGCTATTTTGTTAATGTGTGTATGGAATTGCCAAGCGTACTGCCAGTCGAGGGTTAAGTATGCGTACTGGTAGCTTTTGCGAGTGTAGTTGTGCACAAACGTGTATATAGAAGATATTATCTGTTGTACACTCACGTGTGTTTGTTAAATTCCATCTGTGGTCACTTACATGTGTACATCTATTACTATATGTTGTGCACTTACGTGTATAAAACACTGTCAGTAGTGGTTATGGTGGTGGTCTGTGGTAGTATTATATACTGATGATCGTGCCGTTGGGACTTGGGAAATGGGAAGTTTGGACTTGGGAGTTGGGAAAACAAATATATACTGCCGCCAAAATATCATGTCACCCAAATTAGGGTCTGCTGAATGTCTTATATTACGGTTCGGTTTAATTTTTTTTAAATATATGAATTTATGTCGACATTTTGACATATTGCGACTTCATACATTGGGATGCCCTATGCAATTCTACAAATGTCTGTAGACTGTAGTCGCTCTCTCACAATCCTTAGACTAATTCCAATACAACAAGAATTTGCAACGCTTCAGAATATGACCGTAGAACAGCGCGTCTACTCCCTTGCAGGGCCCGTGCCAACGTCGTGCGCTCGTGGCTTTCCATCTCAGCGCAGATGATTGGAGCTGCAATGAACAGATTTGGATGAATTGGCATCGCACTTCTA